ATGAGTTTACCAAAACACCACTCCCTCCCCGCCCCCCCGGTGTGTGCCATCGGGGTTGGGTTTTCGTCGCTTGGCAGCGATGTTGTAAAACAAGCCGACCACTTCGTGACCTCGGCAACCAGGTTACCGCTTTTTGTGTTTACCTTTCTTTGTTGTTGTTGCGGTACCCATGAATGGTTGTCGAGTAGATCATGTGGTGCGGGGTCGAGTACCCTCACTCCGCGCAAAGGGAATAATCGCACGTTGTGTTAAATTGATCAAGCACCCTCGAGGCAGTTACACAATGCTTTTAACTGTCTCTGGAAGTGAAAGCACCAGAAAAAAAATTAAGTCATATGCAGCTGTCATCCGTACGCAAGGAAGTAAGCCCAAGATGCCGAACACCCTTAGCAGGATGCAGCGCACCCTTCATGCGACTCGCCGAATACCTCACGGCGTTTCGCACTTGGTGATGTGAGAGCCTGGTCCAGTGAGAACCCGGCGTGCTCCGTCCCGGCTTTGTAGGGATGCGAGGTCAATGGTCTAACGACTACGGCATGCACGACTACGAGTACACCCCCCCCTCCCCGCACTCTTGGCCAACAGTCGAAATCTCAGCTACCCCCCGCCGCCAACCCCCTCTGTTGCTCTACCAAAACGCTAAATACTCGCCATAGCCCACCTGTCATCGGCGATTGCGACAAACAAATCCTCGAGCCGCTTGAGCAAATCTTTCTGAATCTGCAAGAAAGCTACCCCTTCTCGAGTAGTACCCCCTTTTCCCTCTTCATCAAGTGCGGGGTCCCGCCGAGGTGTACCTGTAGCAGAATGAGAAAGTACGCGAGAGCCAGAACGTGTTAGTAAAACAAGATCTCATGTTGTCCTTAAGGTTGTGGCTTGTGTTTGTGGGCTGCTGCTGAACAAGTAATGCGTGGGCCACACTTGAGAACCTGCCGTGAGAGACGGCAGGGAGAAAGAAATTACAAGGGCTGCCAACCAAAGGAAGCCTTAGCAATAAAGACGTGAGTTATCTATGGTTTAGTAGAGGAGGAATGAAATCAAAGATTGCGAGAAAATGCACCACGGCAGCACGCGAAAAGAGAGCAATAAATCGCGAAGCGTTGCGTCAACGTTGGAATTATGGCAAAGGGAAACAGATATAAAGTAGGAAGCAACACAACAAAAACAGTACGGACGAGAAGGCACCGGAAGCGACCAGACGGGCATATCTCAAAAGGTAGAGCATAGCATGTGACTAGTGGAACGTCTACTTGATCGATCGTGGCCGTTTGAATTTCCACTCAAAAACCGCGAAGGATGGCACGCGCTGTCAAACTCTCACAGAGACAAAAAATAGCCCTGCTTGGAAGTAGCATGGGCGTGTTTTCGGAAGTAGGAAGCATTTGATTGCCATAGCACCCGCAAATGATAGGAAGACAGAGACTGTTGCTCAAGAAATATCAATGATGTCTGCGTACACAGCTGGGCGCGAATTTCGATGTTACGGCTCACCGGGTGACCGTGGCCGCGACTGGTCGTCAAGAAACCGCTCACCAAGCTAACGACCACGCCGGTGCCAGTGGAAAATCCGCCAGAGCAGAGAAGGGACGGGGGGGGGGGGGG